AGCATTGTTCATCGTATTGGTCAGTAGTGGCCAGTTTTAGACATCGGGATACATGCAGATTTTTCAGGAGCATCAGCCAGTAGGGAGGCTTGTACAGCCTGGGTCAAACCAGGCAGTCTAGCAATGCCTTCCAGCAGTGCATCCGCTCCATTCCTTCAAAAAATAACAACATATCATGACTGCAAACATATAAATTTCTCTTGTGATTCTACTGAAAAGTAACAGATATGAGTGTGCTGATTACAAGGTTGTTGATTGATAAATAAATATAAGTTCATCAATATGATACTGAGATACTGAGATAGAAAGATTTAATATCTTATCTGAGTGTTTGGTGTCTTTTACAGGATGACATACATAAATCTGCTGAGGGAAGACAACTGCCTTCTAAGTATTGGACCAGTTTAGTCAAGAGGATGTCATTTCTGATTTAATCAATTTTACCAGGTTGGAGAAGCAATATTGAGATATCTCAGATTTTATTGTTTTGATAATAAAAGAATTAAACATGCAATGGTAGAAAACTGGCTGTCAAGGGAGAAAACTTGATAAAAGGAGAACACTTGATAAAAGGAGACACTTCATACTCAGAAATTCTTACCTGGTAAGTTCCTCAGTGGTAGTTTTGGGCCTGTGAGACAACAAATGTAGAGTCACTCTAATCCCATGCATTTTTGAAACATGGTGACTTGATTTGAGACATTTAAACACAATAAGTGTGAGGTACTTCATCTGTTGCAAAAGAAATATAAAACTGAAGACATTATATATCGTCTACATCCTCTAAAACTAGCTTGTTTAATCCTTTTGGAAGTAGAAGTTTGCTGTTTAGACCTATATTCTGATTTCATATTTTCATGCAAGAATATTTCTGACTAAAATGGACAGAACTCAAAGGAAAATAATTGGAATGAAAATGAAAAACGAAATTAAGTAAACTATGTTTCATCAAAATTGCTTGAAAGGTTTTATTCAGAAGACAATCCACAGACAGATAGACAGACAGAAGGACAGGTGGACAGGCTCATATAGCTTCATACCCACTGACCCCCTCCAGACATTGACCATGGGTTCATGGTAGAAACATTTGTGCTTTCATGGCTACAGACAAACCACAAACATAAAACAAAATACAATAAACAAGACATCATCTTAAAGAATTATGTATTATATGAAAGCCATGAGAAATGTTACTTTTGTAATGATGTCTCAGGTATACAACAAAAAGAGCACCAACAAACAATTTATATCATACAATATAAACTAGGGCTATAGAGTGATGTACTGAGACAGTGTCACAATATGTATCAATATAAACTAGGGCTATATAGTGATGTACTGAGACAGTGTCACAATATGTATCAATATAAACTAGGGCTATAGAGTGATGTACTGAGACAGTGTCACAATATGTATCAATATAAACTAGGGCTATAGAGTGATGTACTGAGACAGTGTCACAATATGTATCAATATAAACTAGGGCTATAGGGTGATGCACTGAGACTGCACCGAGACTGTATCACAATATGTATCAATATAAACTAGGGCTATATAGTGATGCACCGAGACTGCACCGAGACTGTATCACAATATGTATCAATATAAACTAGGGCTATAGAGTGATGTACTGAGACAGTGTCACAATATGTATCAATATAAACTAGGGCTATATAGTGATGTACTGAGACAGTGTCACAATATGTATCAATATAAACTAGGGCTATATAGTGATGCACTGAGACTGCACCGAGACTGTATCACAATATGTATCAATATAAACTAGGGTTATATAGTGATGCACCGAGACTATAACACAATATGTATCAATATAAACTAGGGCTATATAGTGATGTACTGAGACTGTATCACAATATGTATCAATATAAACTAGGGCTATAGGGTGATGCACTGAGACTGCACCGAGACTATAACACAATATGTATCAATATAAACTAGAGCTATATAGTGATGCACCGAGACTGCACCGAGACTGTATCACAATATGTATCAATATGAACTAGGGCTATATTGTGATGCACCGAGACTGTATCACAATACCGGGTATGTATCGCAATATATCATCTTTCAAAGTTGAAAGATAGAATGCTTCATCTTTGCCAGAGTCTAAGCTGAAAAAAACATGCAGAACCAGTTCAAGTTTAGATGCAGTTTTTACTTATTGGTATTAAGAATTTTTAAGAAATTCATATTAAATGCTAAAAAAGTGATATATATTGTGAAATACAGTTGTTTTTGTACCCTAATACATTACTTTTGAGTATTAATATATACTGGTATATCTTTACATCCCTAATATAGCCCATTATATCTGAAGTGTAATCAAGATCATTATTATACATAACAGATAACAACATAAATTTGAAGACTACATTTGGAATTACCAAACTATCTGCATTTTGCTCAAATTTAGCGAAGTTTGCGATTCCTCGTGCCAGTTGTGCGAGTAGTTCTCTGTTTTTGATGTCTGATTTCAACACCTCACACAAACATTTCATCAACTCCTGTAAGCCTCCCTACAATACAAGGATTGTTCAATATTTAAAAATCTTGATAAATAAACCTAACTTTGTAATTCTTAAATCAAATTTGCAGTTTGAAAAGTTCTGAAGTTCTGAAAGTTTCAGTGTAAGTCCATGGTATTTTCATGTGACTTTCTGAGGACTTTTTCTATTGATGACGTGAATAAAAGAAAAACCAGAAGCTTAAGGAATTTGCAGAGATATCAGACAGACATTGGTAACACTATATGCCAACACTTCTCCCCCACCCCTCCTCAGACCTATACTGGTAGGGGGCATAAAAAAATGAGTGTGAATATGTTGGGAAAAATTTTACTGTAAAATTCTGAGTTGTTTCTACAAAAGTTATTTTCCTAAAGACAACAGAACTTCTTATTTTCCTCAAAATTACCTACCTGGTCTTCTGCATTGGTTGCTAGGTTACCAATAAGACAAGCACAATTAACTAACACTTGGTCATTATGGGGTTGGCTTTTGATGACTTTCATTAAACTCCTTCCTGAGGTAAAATCCTCCTGTTCAATGTAAGTTCAAATGTGGCTACATTGTATCAGTAAACCAGCTGAGCACCACAAAATAATATAAACACATCCTATTTATAAACATTTCTGTTTGTTTTACTGCAATAGCATACCTTTCAATGAAATTGGTTCTATTCTTGATAAACCTGTGTCTGATTATAAGGCTATAATAAGACTATCCACATCAAATGCAATTTTGGTAGAAATGCAAAAAATGTTCAAAGTATTTTTTTTCATGCAAGACCAATATTGAGCCCAGAAGTTATGTGTTGCCCTCATGGGCTTCCATACCTGTATTATCCTGTGTATGTGAAAGTTTGAGCCCAGTGACAGAAATGACAGGACTTTAAGTGATACTTCCTGCATCTAAATATAGAAACAAAACATTAAAGTGACTACATTTCTACTTCTTCCTTCCTCACATAGAATAAATTTTCAACGAAAAGAACATGCTGGATGTGTTACTGATGTAGACATGTTTTATCCTGTATAGCACAAAATTCTTCTTGTCACCATGAAGAATGGTCAGTGATCAAGCAAAATGATATACTATCACGACCAGTGTATGTATAGCGTATCAAATGCTTTTATGCACTCAATTTCCATTTTCCCCCTTGTCTACAAAATGGTTAGTATTACAAACACATAACTTTTCTCCATGAATCTGTCTTCAAGAGGGAATATTTTACCAGGCTAACACAAAATTCACAAATTGTAGACAAAGTAGTAATCAGAGAATAAAGAAAATAATGTACCGGTTTTCTTTGAGTGCTAGCTCATTACTAAGCAGTTACCATGGTGATAAACTAACCTGTTCATCACTGGACGCTGTGAGGCACAAAATATTATACAGAACGTTGTGCTCACTGCCCATGATACTCGAATGGGTGTTCTGGTTCTCCGCTATCATAGACAGTGTACTGACCGCCAGGAGTGCTACGGTGTAACTGTTGCCAGGGGCACACAACTTCAGTACAGGGTCCAGTACACCATCTTTTACAACTGTTAAAACAGTAAATCTTGAGTGAATGTAACTGACACTGAAATAACAAAGGTAGCAACATGTAGGTTACTGGTGATCCCCATGCAGTCACCGTTGTGTGGAGAGACGACCAAATCCACAAAAAGGACGGTTTCCAGTATATTTTGTCACTGAAAGTAGTCACCATACATTCAATGTGCTCCAAATTGCCTTTGAACCTTTATTCACACAAAATAAAACAAATTTTTTTTCCAAACAGAAAAAGTTGGACTTTTATTAGTTAACAATTCCCCTAACCTAAACAAAACTGATTCCTGGCTACAAACAGAAGCTCCAGATCAAACTGGTCAACAGCCAAAAGTACTTTATTGGAAAGAAAAAAAGAATCACTAATCTATCTTTATCTAATTTAATGCGTTCCATCCCTCTGTCTTCATAGAGACTATACTTTCTGCTTACACAAAGTTAAAAATGACCCAGACCAAATTTGTTCAAATTCTTTCTATCTTAATAGATGAAGAAGAATTTATATTTATGATTTAGTCGGGCAGGTGACGCCATAACTTTTCATTAGTTAGTTTTGTAGAGTTAGACAAGTCTAGAGTGAGTTAAGTTTGATTTGATATAAATATATAATCTTACCCTTAGCCCTCAAATCTGGTGATTTACAGAAAATCATGAGAGCACTAATGCCATCTAACTTCATCTGTTCATTTTCACTCGTGGAACGCATCAATATACTGAAAAAGAAAGGATGTACTGGTAACAGTAATATTGGACACAAGAGTTTTTGTATCATTGAAAGAGAGACTACTTAAACTGTAATCCTTTTTAAAGAAAAATCTTGATATCCATAGCATATTTATCCTACAATATGCCTATTCCTGATCGAATATTCTGCATCTTGGATACAAGAAGCACTTTGTGATACACTCACATTTTTGGGTACACTCACATTTTGCATTACACTCACATGAAGGAGAAACACATGTATACTTTGCTTTTAGCAGTAACATCATCTGCATGACATCTTAGAGTCAACACTTTCCCTATTCAGGAGGGAGAAGGTCCAACTCTTGATTTCTATATAATAACATTATTTTTGTACAACTGTCAGAGAAACTGGATTTCTTGTTCATGTTATCATAATCCTTATCAAGTCATGAGAGAGACTAGTTCAAATATGTTGTTTCATAGTTCAGTATTGCTGAGCCTGGTTTTTTTTATGATTCAAATTGCCATGTCTTTACCTAAATCTGAAACAAAAAGCATGCTTTTTTCACAAAAAATCGGGGAATAGCTTATTGTTTTCTCTCGCATTTCATTGCAAAGCGTAATTTTGTTCACTTTTTCATTCTTTCCTGGAAACACCAAAGCAGAGAATTTGTCAATAAAATGTCTATAAGTTTTCTTTTCTTATGCTAGAATATCTTTAGCATTTATTGTCAAGGATGTGTTAAAAACATATTGGTTAGAAGTAAGTTTTGATGTAATTAGCAGTCTGATCAGATCATTCCTTTAATGAAACGATGCTGCCTCATTAACTTTCAGACATTAATGCCATGAGAAGCGAAACACTTACTTGCAGATTGAGCAGACAACACCAATTTCCACCAATATTTTATGTAAAGGGTGGTGCATAGACAACTGGTGTAGGCCGTTCATAACACACTTCTGTACACAGAAAATAGGGGTCAGACATGGTCAGTTATAGTGGAGCCTTGTGGTATCCAACAACAAAATAGACTTAATCCGCCAGGGTGTCAAAATTTGGTAGTGTTAATAAGTAAGTGAAATACCATAAATATAGACTTGAGACAATGTTAAAATAAGACAAGTTTTACCAAACAATACTGTAACCAAACAATTTTTTCTACATACTTATATCCTGATGAAACACCGATATGTTTCAGTTTAGCTCTATTGTTAAATTTCCACTGTCCATGTCTATGAATACCAACTGAAAGTGTTCCAATATTTTATTGTATGGAAACCAATTGCCTACTCAAAGTAATAGTGACATTGACCTTTGAACCTGAAAATGTCATTTGTACCAAAACCAAATGGTATGAAGTTTAGTATGATTATTCCATGGAAACTCCATAATTGATGTGTGTATGGACATGAAGGGGGATGTCAGTTGTAATTATAATATGCTCTCTGGTCTGTGATCTGTAACAAAGACATTTGGAAAGATGTCATTATGTGTGTATATTACATGGTTTGCTTCTGCCAATGGAACCAGCGCATTTTCTTTGACAAAAGTCAGAGGTGAGCTTATCACAGGACAATACAATGCCATCGGTTTATAGTTCTACTTAACTGTACCGTATTTTCCAGTCTATAAGCTGCAGCTTTTTTCCTCATAAAACAAAAAAATCTGGCTGGCTTGACCTCAGACTTAAGGGTTTATTGCAGGATAAAACTGGTAAACAGGTAACTATACTGAAGTGACTTCCACATAAAACAGACGGGTGTTTCTGACATATCATGGTACCTACCGCGAGTATATAATTATCAATCCTCCCTAGAGCCACCAAAGTCTGTAAACCTCCGAGTTCCACTACCTGTAGAAATGTCAAGTTTTACAATAGTAAGAAACCAATTATTCTTCAGTTTCTCTTTCATTTAAAGAAATGGCAATATCACAATCTATAAAAACTAACCAAAACGTTAAACTGTACAGACATCAAAATTCATTTACACACTGAATGTGGGCTGGGGAGGTGACATATGGTAACTCATGCTGGAGACATCAAGTGCATTGGCTTGTATGTGTTAGAGATTAATCAAAATTACAAAATGGATGACTTACTTTAGTATAAAGATTGAATTCTGAGACATATCCAACATTAAAAGTTACTTACTCTGCATAAACCATGAGGCTCTATCAGCTGTTTAACTAAACCCTCAGCAGCCTTTATCTGGTGTTGCTGAAAACATGGTCAACAGATAACAAGGAAGTACACATAATTAAAAGGCCTGATTCTTGTACTTTTGTTTTCCAGATCTTCAGAAAAATTTCAGGCAGATAAAATAATAAAAAAAATAATGAAAAAAAAAAAAAATGATAATCCTGATTTCCATCCAAACTTTCCATTATACTACATCACACTTGAGTTCCTGCTTCTGTATTCATTTTTTCATATAAAATGAAGTAAAAATCCATTTAATAAATGAAAACCCCTGGGATAGTGTCCATATAGACTTATCAAATCACTTATTTTCCTGTTTACTTATATTAGACTTACTTAAGAAAATAGTATGAAATGATGCTAATTATGTGTTCGATTTTTAAAAAGTTATCTCCTCCATGGTATTTTCTTTTCAGAATCTACCCTCTGACAGTGTTTCTTTTACATGAATTTAACAGAAGCCGTTCACTACATTCCATTTGGAAAATAAAACAAAAATTTTCTCAGAAGTTGGAAAAGATACTGCAGTTTGTTCTTTTTTTATGACTACAATAATGGACACAAAAATCACTGATTCATAAATCTCATTTATAATAATCTATAGGCACAACTAACAAGAGGCCCAGAGGGCCTGTATCGCTCACCTGGATCTTTATGACCAACAGTACTAAATCTGTGCATATGTTACATGTTTAACACATTTGACCCTTGTGACCTTGACTATGGGTCAAGGTCATATCTTTTTACAAACTTTCTTGGACTTCATAAAAGGAACATACTGGCCAAATATATTGATTCTAGGCTTTTCGATATTTCAGAAGAAATTATTTAAACGTTTTAACACATTTGACCTCTGTGACCTTGAATATGGGTCAAGGTTTTTTTTTTTTGAAAACTTTGTGAAACTTCAACAAAGGAACCTTCCAGCCAAATATAATGATTCTAGGCCTTCCAGTATTTTGAAAGAAGTCGTTTAAAGGTTTTAACACATTTGACCTCTGTGACCTTGAATATGGGACAAGGTCATTTCTCTTTGCAAACTTTGTTGGGCTTCATCAAAGGAACCTTCCAGCTAAATATAATGGTTCTAGGCCTTCCGGTATTTTGGAAGAAGTCGTTTAAATGTTTTAACACATCTGACCTCTGTGACGTTGAATATAGGGCAGGGTCATTTCTTTTCGCAAACTTTGTTGGGCTTTATCAAAGGAACCTTCCAGCCATATATAATGATTCTAGGCCTTCCAGTATTTTGGAAGAAGTCGTTTAAATGTTTTAACACATTTGACCTCTGTGACCTAGAATAAGGGTCAAGATTATTTCTTTTTGCAAACTTTGTTGGGCCTCATCAAAGGAACCTTCCAGCCAAATATGATAACTCTACGCCTTTCGGTATTTCAGAAGAAGTTGTTTAAATGAAAAGTTGACAGACACAGGACGGAGGGATGGATGACGGACGACGGAGGCCGCGGTATGCATAACCTCACTTGACCCTTTGGGCCAGGTGAGCTTATGGATGGACAATGAAAAAATAGAAAATGAAATTGAAAATTCAAAAACAATTCCTTCAAAAAATGACCTGAATGTGTGACAGACTACACATACCAATGATGTTGATCTGGATTTAGTGACTAAATTTGCCACAGGTAGACAGGAATCACATACTCGCTCTGGTTGGGAAATTCCCATGTGTGGAAGCTGGACCTGTCAAGTGTACACAATTTACATGCCAGTTTATGTGATCGGTAGCCCATAAAAGACAATTAATTGCAAGAACTATCTAAACTGGTTATAGGAAAAGGAAATTAAAAATCCTCTTTTTCTCAGAAAAGTAGAAAACATTACAAGACATAAAGACATAACTCCCTTTTTCCAATTTGACATAATTCCTTATTCCAATTTAGTTGACTTTAAAAAGAAAAATGTCATTTACAAAGAAATTCCATGTCAAGATATTTTTGATGTTAAAGCTGACAGTGTTCAATAAAAAAATTTAATACCAATCTTTAGAAAAATATTAATGAACAGGATAGTTTTGAGATAAAATTCGACATAAAAATAATGATAAATGTTGGTGCAATTTGTCCATATATGTACATTTTCTTAACAACACATTAATAGTAGCAAGTTTTTTTCATATGATTAAGAATGAAAATAATTGAGACAATCAAATTCCATTTGGTCATATAACACTTTCTCAGCTTTTAGCTATCCAGCACAAACCTTAAAAATATGACTCACTTTTTCATTGCAGCACTTGCCACACAACACTCGTCCACACTGACGACAATGATGTTTGCGTCGGAGCTGGTTAAACTTGTTGTTACACAGAATACAAAATGCAACCACATCATCAGCTACCCAACTACAAAGACACAAGTCAGAATTGAATGTACATTGTATATCAAATATCAATTCTGCTGCATCAATGATATATACATGTAATAACAACACTTTTGCTGGTAATTAATGAAGTACAAAATATTCAGTGACTTACAGAACAGTCTGACATGATAGACCATTGATACATATGACAACCGTTAAATACATTTAATAAATTTTGGAGGTTTCAGAGCTCCATCAATGGTGAAGATTATGATCTGTTCTGTTGTGTGCAGGGGTGGCCATCTTGGATTTAAGACACACCTGAAAAACAACAACACATGGTCAGGACCATCTCAAGATCATTTCATGCAAGCTTGAGCTCAATCTCACTGGTGGAACTTGGGGAGAAGTTGAAAATGACAGCTTAACATGTAAATATACAACTGTATACATCTCCTTCCTTCCTCTTCCACAGAATGAAAATACACTGGAAATGACAGGTAAATTATAGCTCCATAGGCCATTAGCTGCAGAATCTATATAAACTAATGTGGGGATAGATTTGAAGTGTGAAACTAAGTCTAATGCTGTTGTTTCCCTCAGTCTACTCATTTTTGCTATAGCTAGTATCAAGTACTGGGTATGTGCACTTAGGGTGGTGGAGAGATAAGATTCAAAATGTCATGGGACAAGAGTGTCTATTTATAGCCTTCATTTCAGCTGTAGCTTATGTTTAATCCGGACATTCATAAGCTTTAGATATTAAACATTTTGATTGATGGATCAGATATATGTGACATTACCACGGACTTAAAGTCTGTGGTGTATTACCATGATCAAAATGCCTAAAATCTGGTGTAGGAGCCATGGAAATTCGGGATAAAACAGATGGTTCCACCACATTTCTCTCGAAATGGTTTACGAAGCCAATCGTCGATATACATACATTACAATGATAATGAAAATAGATACTTTGGTTTGACGAGGGTGAAATTTGGAGTATTGAACACATTTGGGAGTCCCTCTGTCCGAGCTGGGTAGACGTCCACTCCCTCTAGCTTGATCACAAGTGGATATGTTCCCATCACGCAGATCACTAGCGTCACAAAACAATCGTATTATACCAGTAACATATGTCCTGTATACTTAAATTTCGATATTGCAGAGATGCACGATGGGTCGGCTACTTTGTGCGTGATCTGATTACCGATTATCTCTTAGCCTAGTAAATGACCGTGGTTGTCCCGCCTCCTTTCGATTTGAAAACGAGGCGGTAATAAAGAAGCCTCGTTTCGAAACTGAAAGTAACTTTTATACAAACGTTACATACCCCGGTGTGACTATTTTCTATTTGTATTCTAGGATGTAGATAATATATTTGTTGCAAGCTGCTTATTGCCCGGCGATACAGTACTGATTCTATTAATTTTGTGGAATTTTGCGGTCTCCTACATTGTATTTTTCCACGGTCTAAAACTGATGTGGGGACAGATTTGAAGTGTGAAACGAACTAGCAGCTGCAAAATCTCTTAAAACTAATATGGGGATAGATTTGAAATGTGAAACTTTCATTCTTTATTTCATTCGCGACTTTGTCGTCATTTTTTTACAAATAAATTGTGAAGTACAAAGGCTTATGACTTTTCATGAACATAAATACTTGTTACATGTATAGTTTGATACATCCAATTGTGTTTATAATAATTTAATAATTACAAAATAATTTACCATCACTGCTTTCATCAAACATGACACCTGAAAGGTATCGACAAAAATGTGCCCGAAAGATTTCAGCGGTTTCGCCTATAGCAAAACAAAAGAAAAACGAAACTTGTAACCTTGTAACCACAATTCTAGAAACAAGGACGGAAGAATCTAAGAACTCGTTCTTCCCCGTGCCACTATCGCCTGTACCTGCTTAACAAGAAAACCGTGCACTCAGTGTCACAACTTAGACCTTCAAGGCTATAGTCAGTAATCTCCAGCCAACAACAAGTAACCTGCAACTCCCCCTCCAAACCCCCACCACACCACACCTCTCATGCATTACATGTCCGTAAGGATTATACATTGTAAACATACAGATGCAGAAGATGTTTTGGCAAGCTAAGTTAACATTAGGTCCGTTTGGTCAACAGGCGATATCTCTTCTACAGCTATTACACAAATTCCATTACCATCGGCTTATTGGTGATTGAAAAGAGGAAGATTTTGAAGTGTCTCAAGGTAATTATTTTTTTATCCTGAAAGTGGGTCACACGATGTTATTCATTTTAATAAACTTGGAAGCCCCTTTACCCAGCATCGTTTGATACTGGCCAAATATCACGACCCATGGCTTATTTCGGTTATTGAGAAGAAGTTTGAAGTTCTTAGCATGTGTGACCTTGTAAGTGGCGAAGATAAGTCATTTAAAGAAACTTGGGAACCCTTAATTTCATTCCACGGTATCGCATGACACTTATCAAATTGCATTACCATGGGTCTTTCGGTTATTGAGAAGAAGTCGTTTGAGGAGTTTAATCCATATGCTCAACATATCTCATTTGAACCAATTTGTGAGCCCTCGATCCTAGCATGTAGCTTGAATATCATGATTCGTGCTATTGAGAAGAGGTCGGATAATTGAAGGGAAAAGTTAACGCCGGACGACAGACAGACGTAGTGCATGTAAACTTTCTGGTAAGAGCTCATAATTTATATATTCTTTCCGTCTTGTTTTCCAGAGTTGAGTAAAAATTACTTGTTTTTTATCAATGATTTGCTAAACTAGGCCAAGATAAAAGTGACATTTACACAAGACATAACACTATTTGTGAAAAAATCTACAGAAATATCACAGCGTTAATATGTAAATCGTACATACGTAAATCTTTATCCTTCCATGGCCTACAAATGTACCAAAATATTCATGTGTATATACATGTATTTCTTCGTGTACGGACGGCCCCAAGTGACGGGAATGTCATATTTTTGTACCTTTCCCCACTGCTGCAGACTTCTTATCGATTTGATGCGAATCAATTATAAATCGCACGAGTTATCCTGCTAATTGTCAGAACAATGTACTTAATTGACGAGACTATTTAACCAGGTGTGCCTGTGATACAAGGCGAAGCACAGGTCTATTTTTAGAACGGTGCGCTATCTAAGCTAGCGTCCGTTGCCAGGAAGTGGCATAATAAGACCTTGTCGTTGGGTCACTGGCATGGAAGATTTGTCAACAGTCTGGTAAGGATATTCACACCAGGTAAACCTAGACGTAAACAGTTTGAACTGGACAGTTCACCTGCAAGTTTGTTTAATATCATAAACGGATATGACTTTTTGAAACGACCAAACAGTGTGAATTTTACAGCGTGGATCGTTACCTTACTATTTGACTTGTGACGGACGATTCGGCACTATGTTGAGCGCCCCAGGTCCGCGACCGCACGTGCTCTTTGGGCAAGGTAAAAGTGCAAATACTTTATTAACGGAAGATGGATGTCATTATCCCGTTATATCGCCCGCCTATATGGACAGAAAGCGTGCAGCATCCGCCCCCTACGAGTATGGCAAGGGCGTGCGGGCAATGCATAAAACTACGCTCACTATAGCGAAGGCGCCCTGGGACCCTCGGGACGCGTACAAGACATCTAACAAACAGGTACGTTTTGGTTATATATATTTCAGTCATAGACGCTAGATTGGATCAGATATAAACCAGATACAAGTTAGAGCTCACAGTGTGGGGTGATAAAATACTGTTGGATCACAGAGGTGAAGGATGGTGGGAGAGATGGGGGAGATGGTGGATGTCTGGGAGAGGTGTGGATTGGGAGATGGGGGATGTCTGGGAGAGATGTGGATTGGGAGATGGTGGATGTCTGGGAGAGATGTGGATTGAGAGATGGTGGATGTCTGGGAGAGATGTGGATTGAGGGATGGTGGATGTCTGGAAGATGTGTGGATTGGGAGTTGGTGGATGTCTGGGATAGGTGTGGATTGGGAGATGGTGAATGTCTGGGGGAGGTGTGGATGGGAGATGGTGGATGTCTGGGAGAGATGTGGATTGGGAGATGGAGGATTTCTGGGAGAGATGTGGATTGGGAGACGGTGGATGTCTGGGGGAGATTTGGATTGGGAGATGGTGAATGTCTGGGGGAGGTGTGGATTGGGAGATTGTGGATGTCTGGGGGAGGTGTGGATTGGGAGATGGTGGATGTCTGGGAGATGTGTGGATTGGGGGATGGTGGATGTCTGTGAGAGGTGTGGATTGGGAGATGGTGAATGTCTGGGGGAGGTGTGGATTGGGAGATTGTGGATGTCTGGGGGAGGTGTGGATTGGGAGATGGTGGATGTCTGGGAGATGTGTGGATTGGGGGATGGTGGATGTCTGTGAGAGGTGTGGATTGGGAGATGGTGAATGTCTGGGGGAGGTGTGGATTGGGAGATGGTGGATGTCTGGGAGAGATGTGGATTAGGAGATGGAGGATGTCTGGGAGAGATGTGGATTGGGAGAGGTGTGGACGTCTAGGAGAGATATGGATTTGGAAGATGGTGGATGTCTGGGAGAGATGTGGATTGGGAGATGGTGGATGTCTGGGAGAGGTGTGGATTGGGAGATGGTGAATGTCTGGGAGTTAATGGATGTCTGGGAGAGGTGTGGATTGGGAGATTGAGGATGTCTGGGAGAGGTGTGGATTGGGAGATTGAGGATGACTGGGAGAGGTGTGGATTTGGAGATGGTGAATGTCTGGGAGATGGTGGATTGGGAGATGGTGAATGACTGGGAGAGATGTGGATTGGGAGATGGTGGATGTCTGGGAGAGATGTGGTTTGAGAGATGGAGGATGTCTGTGAGAGGTGTGGATTGGGAGATGGTGAATGTCTGGGAGAGGTGTGGATTGGGAGATTGAGGATGTCTGGGAGAGGTGTGGATTTGGAGATGGTGAATGTCTGGGAGATGGTGAATGACTAGGAGAGATGTGGATTGGGAGATGGTGGATGTCTGGGAGAGATGTGGTTTGAGAGATGGAAGATGTCTGGGAGAGGTGTGGATTAGGAGATGGTGAATGTCTGGGGGAGGTGTGGATTGGGAGATGGTGGATGTCTGGGAGAGATGTGGATTGGGAGATGGTGGATGTCTGGGAGAGGTGTGGATTGGGAGATGGTGAATGTCTGGGAGATAATGGATGTCTGGGAGAGGTGTGGATTGGGAGATTGAGGATGTCTGGGAGAGGTGTGGATTTGGAGATGGTGAATGTCTGGGGGAGGTGTGGATTGGGAGATGGTGGATGTCTGGGAGAGATGTGGATTGGGAGATGGTGGATGTCTGGGAGAGGTGTGGATTGGGAGATGGTGAATGTCTGGGAGATAATGGATGTCTGGGAGAGGTGTGGATTGGGAGATTGAGGATGTCTGGGAGAGGTGTGGATTTGGAGATGGTGAATGTCTGGGAGATGGTGGATTGGGAGATGGTGAATGACTAGGAGAGATGTGGATTGGGAGATGGTGGATGTCTGGGAGAGATGTGGTTTGAGAGATGGAGGATGTCTGTGAGAGGTGTGGATTGGGAGATGGTGAATGTCTGGGAGAGGTGTGGATTGGGAGATTGAGGATGTCTGGGAGAGGTGTGGATTTGGAGATGGTGAATGTCTGGGAGATGGTGGATTGGGAGATGGTGAATGACTAGGAGAGATGTGGATTGGGAGATGGTGGATGTCTGGGAGAGATGTGGTTTGAGAGATGGAAGATGTCTGGGAGAGGTGTGGATTAGGAGATGGTGAATGTCTGGGGGAGGTGTGGATTGGGAGATGGTGGATGTCTGGGAGAGATGTGGATTGGAAGATGGTGGATGTCTGGGAGAGGTGTGGATTGAGAGATGGTGAATGTCTGGGAGATAATGGATGTCTGGGAGAGGTGTGGATTGGGAGATTGAGGACGTCTGGGAGAGGTGTGGATTTGGAGATGGTGAATGTCTGGGAGATGGTGGATTGGGAGATGGTGAATGACTAGGAGAGATGTGGATTGGGAGATGGTGGATGTCTGGGAGAGATGTGGTTTGAGAGATGGAGGATGTCTGGGAGAGGTGTGGATTAGGAGATTGAGGATGTCTGGGAGAGGTGTGGATTGGGAGATTGAGGATGTCTGGGAGAGGTGTGGATTGGGAGATGGTGAATGACTGGGAGAGATGTGGATTGGGAGATGGTGGATGTCTTGGAGAGATATGGTTTGAGAGATGGAGGATGTCTAGGAGAGGTGTGGATTGGGAGATGATGAATGTCTGGGAGATGGTGGATGTCTGGGAGATGTGTGGATTGAGTGATGGTGGATGTCTGGGAGAGATGTGGATTGGGAGATGGAGGATGTCTGGGAGAGGTGTGGATTGGGAGAGGTGTGGATGTCTGGGAGAGATGTGGATTGAGCAATGGTGGATGTCTGGGAGAGGTGTGGATTGGGAGATTGAGGATGTCTGGGAGAGGTATGGATTGTGAGATGGAGGATGTCTGGGAGAGGTGTGGATTGGGAGATGGTGGATGTCTGGGAGAGGTGTGGATTGGGAGATGGTGGATGTCTGGGAGAGGTGTGGATTGGGAGATGGTGAATGTCTGGGAGATAATGGATGTCTGGAAGAGGTGTGGATTGGGAGATTGAGGATGACTGGGAGAGGTGTGGATTTGGAGATGGTGAATGTCTGGGAGATGGTGGATTGGGAGATGGTGAATGACTAGGAGAGATGTGGATTGGGAGATGGTGGATGTCTGGGAGAGATGTGGTTTGAGAGATGGAGGATGTCTGGGAGAGGTGTGGATTAGGAGATTGAGGATGTCTGGGAGAGGTGTGGATTGGGAGATTGAGGATATCTGGGAGAGGTGTGGATTGGGAGATGGTGAATGACTGGGAGAGATGTGGATTGGGAGATGGTGGATGTCTGGGAGAGATATGGTTTGAGAGATGGAGGATGTCTAGGAGAGGTGTGGATTGGGAGATGATGAATGTCTGGGAGAGATGTGGATTGGGAGATGGAGGATGTCTGGAAGAGGTGTGGATTGGGAGAGGTGTGGATGTCTGGGAGAGATGTGGATTGAGCAATGGTGGATGTTTGGGAGAGGTGTGGATTGGGAGATTGAGGATGTCTGGGAGAGGTATGGATTGTGAGATGGAGGATGTCTGGGAGAGGTGTGGATTGGGAGATGGTGGATGTCTGGGAGAGATGTGGATTGGGAGATGGTGGATGTCTGGGAGAGGTGTGGATTGGGAGATGGTGAATGTCTGGGAGATAATGGATGTCTGGGAGAGGTGTGGATTGGGAGATTGAGGATGTCTGGGAGAGGTGTGGATTTGGAGATGGTGAATGTCTGGGAGATGGTGGATTGGGAGATGGTGAATGACTAGGAGAGATGTGGATTGGGAGATGGTGGATGTCTGGGAGAGATATGGTTTGAGAGATGGAGGATGTCTAGGAGAGGTGTGGATTGGGAGATGATGAATGTCTGGGAGATGGTAGATGTCTGGGAGATGTGTGGATTGAGCGATGGTGGATGTCTGGGAGAGATGTGGATTGGGAGATGGAGGATGTCTGGGAGAGGTGTGGATTGGGAGAGGTGTGGATGTCTGGGAGAGATGTGGATTGAGCAATGGTGGATGTCTGGGAGAGGTGTGGATTGGGAGATTGAGGATGTCTGGGAGAGGTATGGATTGTGAGATGGAGGATGTCTGGGAGAGGTGTGGATTGGGAGATGGTGGATGTCTGGGAGAGGTGTGGATTGGGAGATGGTGGATGTCTGGGAGAGGTGTGGATTGAGAGATTGTTGATCTCTGGGAGAAATGATGGGTAGGATGGTGAATAGGAGATGTGTTGGGATGATAGTAGATATTAGAGAAGGTAAATGGGAGATTTGTAGGGTGGGAGAGATAGTGGATTGAATAGATGGCGGAAAGGAGTGGTTGTGAAAAGGAGAGGTAATGAAAAGGAGAGGCGTTGGAAAGGAGAGGTGGTGGACAGGAGAGGTGGTGGACAGAAGAGGTGGTGGATAGGAGAGGTGATGGATTAAAGAGGTAGTGGATGGGCAAGACAGTGAATAAAAGAGGTGGTTGATGACTGAGATGGTGAATGGGAGAGTTGCTGGATAGGAGAGATGTTTAATAGAAAAGAGGATGGATATCAAAAGTAGTAATAGGGAAAGTGTTTATTCACAGAGATAGTGGATATGAGAGAAGATGTGGATGTGGTGAACTGGAGAGAAGATGGATAGAAATGCTGGTGGATAGGAGAGGTATTGAATAGGAGAGGTGGTGAATAAAAGAGGAGGTGGATGGGCGAGATGGTGGATGAGAGAGGTGTTTGATAGAAAATATGGTAAATAGCAAAAGTAGTGGATAGGAGAGCAAAATATGGGAAAGATAGTGGACAGATGGTGGACAAGAGAGATAGTAGATGAGATTAATCATAAATATCATGTAGAAAAGGAAGTGGACAGGACAGATGGTTGATAAAGGTGGTGGTGGACATAAAAAATGGTTGTTGATAAGAGAGGTAGTGGACAGGACAGATGGCGAATAGAAGAGGTTGTAGTTAGGAGATACGTGGATAGCAGATATGACAGAAAGGAGCAATGCTGGATAGGAGAGATGGTGGATATGAGAGGCATATGATAGATGTGT